ATTATGAACAGAGGAGGCAGGAGGGGGGGGGGGAAAGTCTCGCAACGTACAATGCTCCCCCGAGAAATCCTGGCGGCTACGATTCTCTTTTCATCCGCGAGCCATGAGGACAATGCACCTACGTCGACGGCTTCAACGGGAGCGAGAAGGAGGGGGGAGGGGGTGGGGAACGCGTTACATCGCCGGCATAATCCGCTGAATATTTTTCTATTTTGTAATCCAATATCCCGATAGCTCGTCACGTATGCTCGGGAATGTCTTCGAGAGAGACGTCCTTTCCTCTTTGATACAGTCTTAATGCGAGCGAGGTTGCATAAGAGAGCAGCACGACGCTTTCATTCAAATGCAGATTGTGACTCGGTTACCCCATTGGGCCACCATGAGGAGATAATAATAGATTGCAACAACGTCGCGCCACATCGTGCGTGGTGACACGTCGGTATTAACGAATAAATAATTATTATTTAGCACGAGAAGGGAGGAAACGGTTTATCGGAATGAAGAACGATATCAACGCGATATCGCAGAAACGTATTAATTGCTAATAGATTGCTATCTCGCAACGAGAATCAACAGTTTCTGGGATGTGTGCTCATTAAACGCGAAGGTTTTACTTTCTGATGATTTTTAATTAAGTTTTGACATCTTTTTTTAGACACTCCGTAGAATGGCACATGTCACCGCGATGAAAATCAACCGCGAACCGGGATTACAACGTGAAGTGTGACATCGACAAATCGACTTGCCGGCGAGATAAATTTGTTCGAATTTTCTACGTGAGCGATGAAAGCGATATGGAATAAATTTCTATCGAATTTGCAGACTCTCTCCCAGAGAGTAGAGGTATCGCAAAACCGATTTCCGCTTCCACGTGCACGAGATTTCATCGTGCGCGAGATAAAAATGCAGATTTAGTCATAACACGCGCTCTCCATTCTCTACCCTTGCAATCCCACGTCTCTTATCAATGAGGCAAGCCGATAATCGTATGCTGTTATTATCCCAGTAATGATATTTGATACCGCACAACCGGTTCTCTTAACCCACTGTTCTAATTCAGGCTCGGCTATCTCGTCATTTTCCTGCGCGCGACACCGTTTATTTTTCAAGATCGTTATAATTTTCGCACGATATGTCAGGCATTGTTATCCGCTTTTCTCTTAATGAAAAGTGCTAAACGGCAGGGGAAAAGAATAGTTAAAATATCGAGGTGGTAATTCTTTGATTGACGCCTTCAGAAATGCGAATATTTCGTATTTCACTTGCGCCAATATTTTAACGGGAATTTTATAGTTTGCATTCAGTTCAGAATTCAAGGAAGAAGAAATTAAACGAGTTACGAGAAGGAAAAAAAAATTTGTCCTCAGATTTGTGCCAAAAAAAAAAAAATACAAATCAATCTGAAATATTTTATTTTAAAATACATAAAACGCTTTTACATAAATTTATATTTATATTTATGTTTATTTTTCTTTCACATTCTTAATTTCTATAATGAATGTAGAGAAATATTTATTGCAATTTATCATACGAATGAAATGAAATTCGAGGAAGAAATTTAGTAGAAATTTGGTAAACATTAAGGTAATCGTAAATTTAAAATTTAAATAATATTATCATTAGAATTTAAATAATATTTAAATAATATTATAATATTATATAATATTATAATAATATTATTTAAATAATATAAATTTAAAATTTAAATAATATTATCATTTTATATATAGAAAACATTTATTAAATTTTTCTTTATAAAATGTTCTTGTTTTCTTTGATTCTTTTATAATTTATAAAGAATTGCATATTTCTACATTTTATTATCATATTCTTTGAAAATTTTTCTTCTTTAAATCAAAATGCGTGGTGATTTTATGAACACAGTATAATACAGTATAATAATTTGTATTATAAATTGCATGCATAAACTAGCTCATATATCTAGCTGATTAGATACAAATTATGTTTTTTAAATATCCGAAATGTTATATAAGTGAGAAAAAGTTTTATTTTAAAAGAAAAACTAATTTAAAAAAACAAAATGTTTTCTTCTTGTAAATGCGGAATTGTACATTTTTCTACTCTTTAATATAATAATACTCTTCTTTTAACATTAAACGTTTTACATTGTCTAATTGCTAAATTGCGAAATTAAGCACGAACGCCTGTAGTAATGCGCTCGTATAAATGCATAACTTCTTATCGGCCGTTATCAAAATACGTCATCGTGCAACGTGTCGCATTACCTATTATTTTTCTTCTTCTCTTTCGAGTCGAGTTTGCTCGACTCGACTAACGTCGCGGAAAATGAAGATTTGCCCTTTTCTGTTACCTCTTCTGCCCTTTTCTCATTATTTTCTGTGTCACGTGATTTCTATCAGGAGGGACAGGCTTAGTTATCTTTCCCGCTCATATTTTACATTTCGCGAAATTCGTTTATCACGAGGTAGATTGCGTTTTAACGGGCCTTTCGTTCCGATAGGAACCATATCGGCCGACATTTAAAATTAATGGCGCACATTCTTGGGTGGTATTACGACCACGGCAAACGTGCTAAATCGCTTAATATTATTGTGGGCTGCGTAGGCAATAGGCACCCTATTCCTATTACCGTTTATCGCTTAAGTATTTCTTTCTTTTCTCGTCCGAATATATATTTTATCACGGGGTACCCTATTCCGTTTTACACCGTTTTACACTCTTTTGCTATAAAGAGCACTTTTGCTTTTCGAAAATGAATTTCTGTCAAGACTGTTCAAGAAGAGGAAAAACGTCGCGCGCGCAGTGATACCACTTTTGGTTGAAACCTCATCCGATCTGAAAAATGTAATATTGTAAAATAAAGCGTTCTGTTCATACACGCGCGCGCCCATAAAACGCTCGATTGACGTCAGTCACGAGGGTATTTTTAGCTCTCCGTTACAGTGACTGTTCAGGAAAAAAAAAAGAAAAAGAAAAAGAAAAAGAAAAAAAGGAAACAATGTTTTTTTTTTCCTTCTTCTCAAGATTGCCACTTGCATTCGCCGCATTCTTCCCCGCAATTATTTGCACGTTTTCGTCGCCGCGGGCGGTATTCCGTATTTCCTTTCTTTCCTTCTCATTACCGCCTACCGCTATTCCTGCTATCGATATTCCGGCTCGCCGGTAACGATAAGAGGGGTTGGCGATGGTATTTACGATAAGGCGGCTCTTCGGGGTTACGTGGGCGCCGTAGAGTGGTGGGCGTTGTGCACGGGGTTTATTTTAAACTCATGTCATCACGCATTATTCGGTACACCATGAGTCAATATCGGCCTCCGCCTTGATCGCTCTTTTACGCTTGCTTATTCCAGATATCCGTGAGACGAGTAGGGAGGGTAGGGAGGAGGTAGGGAGGAGGTAGGTATAGCGAAGGAGGGGAAAAAAAGGGGAAAGAGAAGATAAAATGATAGGGGCGTATGTCGTGTGCGACTTGTTTGAATCTATTATCACTAGTCTCGCGATCAAATTTTGCAAAAATTTTTAACAGAACTGTATCGTATAACTGTCGTAATTATGAGAAAATTGTGAATTATCATAATTCATACTTTATAATTATGATTAATCGTCGAATAATTTTATTATTTCTCAGGGACGACAGTTGCTTCTGTCGCAAAGACCGCGGAAATAGCGTCAAACAAAATTTACCATGATAAAGTCAGAAGTAATAAAACTTCGCTTTTCGTTGCTGCAAGCTTAAGCCAGTAATAATATATAAGCATTGCGTATATCGCGTATATAAAAAAAAACTACTCGCTACATCAGCAATTTAACGTTTTTACGATCATCGAAAGTGCATAATTAGTCGCGGGTGTCATGTCAATTATATTCAATATGATAACGTCCATTACGATTCTATTCGCAAACCGAATGAGATCAATAATAATAATAATAAACGTTGCCGGCCGCATGACGTACCGCGAATCTCATTATATATTGCAGTTGCGGATGAAATTGGTTGACGAAACTCAGGCAGCTCGTTGAAATCGTTATCGATCCCTCGCGTGGTCCCTTCGGCGGGTTCCGAAGGGTATACGCACACGCGTGCGCCGGACCGGAAGTGGACCGCTACCGGAAATGAAACGCGCCGGACGTTAATCGGCGACGCGTTTCGAACAAACAAGATACACAATGTCGGTCAAGGGTTCGAGAGACGCGCGCGTGTCATTTCGGGGGTCATGATTCATCGACGTTCCGGCGGAACTGAAACGGTGATCGCGCGGCATTATGCATACGCGCGCCAATTTGCCTTCATCTGCATCGAAAGACCGCGGCATCGAAATTTCCTCCGTCTCTTTCCCTCTTTTGCGTGCGCGCGCGCGCGCGCGCGCACCCTTACAATTGTAAAACACGTCACCGCGCGAAAAAATTTATTTCCAGACCCCCGGGAAATGTCGAGCGTTTAATAAAAAATGACAACGCCAGAATCGTCGGATGATTTACATATTTCTGTATGAACGATAACGTTTTTTTTTTTTTCCCCTTTTCCAATTTTGTGCTAATTCCCGGTGAAGCGCGGCGACGGTAGGAAAGCTCGTAAACTCTTGAGTTTTCGATCGTTACTTTGCATTTTTCTTAAGTACGAGCCGCTCCAGAATGCATTTTTCTTGAGTATATACGGGCTGTCCTGCATAGAACACATTTCCCTTTCCAGGCATAGATCTTTCCGCGATGCGCGAAATTCTTCCCTAGCGACTTAAGCCAGGAATTTTCAACGTTAATAATTAAAGCCGCGTCACTAAATTAAGCTTGGAGAGAGCAAACAAAAAGAAGTTGTTTTTAATTAGATAGGACACGAATTAATTTTAAACGGAGAGATTTTTAAGATAGCAAAAATCTATCGTAGTATATAACTCCAATACATAAATTAAAATAATAACTCGCTCGTCAATCATTGATGAAAATCTGATGTATATGCGATAAGATGGAGAGATATTAATCTTCCGACTTTTTTTGCTCAAAACCTTTTTCTGTGTTTGCAGAGAGGAAGTGCAAGAACACACGGTGAGATGGAATGCGAAGTTCGAATTTTTATGCAAGATGAGCGCCAACGCCTCCACGGGCGTGCTCGATCCGTGCATTTTAAGGATATCCGTGAGAAAGGTGAGAGCAAACTTACTTTTCATTTGAGAGTGAATAGAGTCCAATCCTGGGAATGCGACGAAAGGAAGACGGAGAGATTCTCCTCTCCCTTTTATTTTCGCACGAACGTTTTACTTTTCATTCACATTCTCGCACGTGCGTAAACTACGACAAGAATCGAATGCGGGGGACATCTTTGTCTCATTTTTTTCTATTCTTCATTTATAAAATCGATAAAAAAAAAACAAAATAATGAGAAAGATACGAAAGTCGTATTTTCTTTCGCTTTAAAATCTTTAGTTACCTTATTGAAAGATAATTTTTTTCGAATAATTTATTATTTAATTGATTCGCGATAAAAACGCGATAGACATAAGAAATTAAAATTATTAAAAGTATTCCAGGACATCGTAAGAAAATTACATATTTTTTATGAAATTCTTCTGATTGCATTCTCATTAAAAATGTATTGAACGTTATTAGAAGAGAAATTAAACGTGTTTTTATAAATCTTATTTGTGCGACAGGAACTGAAAGGAGGCAGGTCCTTCCAAAAACTGGGCTTTACTGATCTAAACCTGGCCGAATTCGCAGGAGCTGGCCTCTGCCGAAGGAGATGCCTCCTGGAGGGTTACGATGCTCGGCATCGTCAGGATAATTCTATGCTGCGCGTAGCTATCAAAATGAACATGCTCTCCGGAGATATTCTATTTAAAGTGTAAGTGTAACTGCTTATCTACTTGAAGCAGTAACCTATTTCAAATTTTTTAACAACATTTACACAAAGGTGAAAGATATCTCAGATTCTTATGTATTTCAGTCCAATACAATATTTAGAATGAACAAAATGCATTAAATCAAGCTGCAAAACTAATCTAATATTTAAATGTAATAAAAAAACTGCATTTAAATTCTTTTCTCTTCGTTCTCTCGTTTTTGCTCTTTTTTGCATAGCACATGTAAATGAATTGTTACTCCGATTGTTTCCAATCTGTATCCATGACAACTGTGCCCGTGTTTGATCGTGAGAAACTATGGAATCCTTTTGATTAACGGATTAATCGATTATTGCCCCAGCCCTTCCCCGTCGTTGAAGCAGACGCAGCTGGCAGTGCCTGGGGTGCAAGGTGTACCTGGTGTTACCGGTGACGAGGTGACGGCATCCGAGAGATGTACTAATCGAGAGGATTACGTGTCTACCGGTTCGTTGGCGGGAAGTATAGCAAGTGCCAGCAGTGGTTTCGGTAGTCTTCCCAAGAAGAGGCCCGCACTCTTCACTTCCGGTAATTCTCTCTCTTTTTTTTTTTTCACGTTACATTTGATATCTCAAATATTTCATAAAAAAAGAAACTTTTATTTTGATAAAAGAATAAACATGTGTAAAGCACTATACGTAAAGCAGTAAGAATGTAATTGTAAGAAATATAGATTTTGAAAGGTACGAGGAAAGGAATCATTTAAATGATTCGTAATGATTCGTGATTAGAACTTCTCAGCGGAACGGAAACGTACGATCCGATGACTCTCAGCGAGATCGTACCCTCGGCCATTCCGGTAGAGGCTCTGATAGAAGCGCACACGGAATCCGGGCACTCCCGCAACAGCAGTAACACCAGTCAACTTAGCAAAGGGTCCGGCTACGGTTCCTTAAATTCACATAGCCAGCATAGCAGGCAAAGCAGTAGCGGCGATAGCGGTCACATTAGGTAAGGCCTAGGCAGCTCGTCGACGATCCTACGCGTCTACTTCAAATAACTTTCAAAATTCTTCACGTGATCTATGGTGTATATATATATATATATATAATAAATACACAACGTGACTCTCAGGAAGGTTTATATCTTAGAAAGAAATCTTCACAGCCAAGTATTAAGCGCAATTTCAAACGAAAATGTCCAGAGTTCCTTTAATTCTTCATTGATAAAGACGAATATAGTTTTTATATTGCATAATTCTCATTCTAAATTCTATGTAATTGAAATAGAAATAGCTGTACAGAATTGTCAATTATTACGACATTCTGAAAAAAATCATCAAATGATGTACCAGGTTTCACCTTTCGTTCTAATCTATTATTATGAATTGCTTAATTTTATCATTAATAATAATAATAGCATGAATTGAAAATTGAAAGTAATACTGCACGAAAGAATACGAATGTTTGTCGCAACAATAATGATAAGTATATCCCATCTAATTCATTTTACTACAAGAAACTAACGATTTCTTTTTTACATAATGCGAGACATTTTGGCTTTATTAACAAAATACTTGAACTATAATTCACAAGCTATATATCTTGCTTTAAATATTACTTGCCTTTATTATTTTTTCTTGACTCGAAAAAGATATTCTATCTTTGACCTTTAACGATATCAACCTTCTATATGCCATGTAATCGATAAAACTTGCTTTAGCAAGCTCACGCATATTTTCGAATAATTAACTGTAACTTTCTTTTTAAATTAATAACATAAATTATATGTAAACGATTTAGCAGATTTTTAACAAGAGAGCGAATCAATAACGCGTGAAAATGTGTTTTTGCTCCAGCCTCAAGCGATCCCTTCATTCTCAATTTTTCGACCGTAACTACGACACTCTGGACTCTCTATCTTTTTTTTACTTTACGTATGTCTCTCTCTTTATATGTCTTTATATGAGTTGTACATGAGTTATTTATGATTTTTGCATGCTTGTACATTTGTGTTTGTGATCTTTATAGGTCACCTTCTTGGCCGGTATGGGCACCACGAATCCCCAACTCCTCTCAGAATCCGTCCACACAACCGATCGCCTGTCGACCTGACGTCTGTATCGAATCCCTGTCATCACACCCGTCCTCTCTGTCGCACATGGCCTCCAGAGCTCGGTTCTGGTCGGCATCGAGCCCTCTCTCCTCGCGTATCGGTCCAACAGATATGGAAGGCCCAATGGCGACCGACGTTATCATGAAGAACGTTTATTCGGTCGGAAAGCAACAGCCGCCGCTTTGCGGGATCAGAAACGGCTTCTTGAACGACAACAATTCACGCGATTGTCGCAATGATGATGCAGACGCTCGAATGGCATCCGGTATCTTCAGGGTGCCAGACGTACCGCGACATTCACGCAAGAATTACGAGAGGAACAGTTTCGAGGCGCGTAACGAACGTAACGCGATGATGAGCTCAATTGCCAAAGAAAGTAACGGGCATCATCAGGGTATCATCTTCCCGGTCGCGAAAGCCGAGAATCAGTGCCGCGGGTTGGCGCGGCATGTCGAAAACCTGCGACTGCATCGAAAAGGGCAAAACAAGCCCGGTATTGCGATTGGTCGATCAGGCCAGAGCCGTGTCCTCTCCCGATCCTCTCCATAGGCCCGACAATCAAAGAGCCCCGCTACGTCCCGCGACGACAGCTCAGACCCTCAGGTAGGTTTCATTTATCAGCGAGTTTTCAGTTTCGCGACTCTCTTTCGGCGGGAGCGTCTTTTTCCCTCCCCCTTTCTTCTTCTCTGGTTTTCACGACGTCTTTGTCTAGCCGCCGTATCTCCCCTTTTAAAATCCTCGAGACGATTCAATGTGTCGCAATATGTTTCTGGCTTTATCTTGAATGATTAATACCCTCTATAGGCCGCAAGAACGCATATTGGAAAGAGATATATTCAGAAAGCAGATAATTCCGTAAATATTTACAACAAGTGTATTTGATTAGCAGACAATGCGTTGCATTTTATCCTTGCATTAAATGGCACTTTATTCAAAAGTGAGATCATCTCACTTGCAAATCGTTGACGACTGTATGTCCGGCATGCCGGAGTAATTGGTGATTCCGTCCTGACGAACCGGCAGATGTTCGAAGTAGCAGTTTCCCGACTTCTCTTCCTCATATAATGCACATTTACATTTTCTAGATTGAGAAAGCACATTATAAGCACGTCCCAATTAAGTAACGTTTATCAACTTTGCTTTATATTAACCATTTAATTCGTTTTACGTATTTATGTTTTTTTTTTTTTTACGTTCTTTTATTTTGTTGTAATTTTTCCCTCTTTTTATTTTTGGAGAGTAGAGCGATGCTTGAGACAAAATCAATAATAATAACTCAATAGAACAGACCATTAAAGCTCATTTGTGCGTAATCGATTCGCTTAAACCTACTGTAAGAAATTAACAAAATCAACAAAATACATGTAATATAAAAATATAAGTGGTATGTATCAAACTATATAGGCATGCCGCCAATAAGATTTAATGAATCTTTGGACAGATTTAAATTTAATATTACATCGTTGCTTAATTATCCACCATATCTTATTTTTATCATACGAATGCAATAACTCATGTTTCATTAACCATTAATAATTATGCTCATTTATCATTTCTGTGCCTTCGGTGTGAGCTAATTAAATATATGCTACGTATTACATGGCAGTTACAAGTATGGAGTATTGTCTAATACCGCATTAAGGTGAATTGTGTTTCTAGCGTATGAAATCACGTGAAATCAAAGAATGCGTGCGTCATTAAAAGATCATTCTGTTATTCTCGTGAGGTGTACAATTTATTTTTAGATTTTCTATATCTTCTTACTAAAAATGACGTTTTTTTTTTGATATTAGTTTGTATTTTTTATCAGACTTTAAGCTCATATTACGATTTATTCGAGCAATTTCTTTATTTATCATAATAAAATTAAAATCCTAAAGCCGCAACAGAAATACCTTGCAAAATATTAAAAGTGATAAAGAAATGATGGCAGAAATGTTCACACAATTGAATTTTCCAAAAAGTCTTAAAAGTCTACTATTAATTTTTTTTCTCAATTTGTTACAAAGATAAATAATTAAACGCAAAGTGCACTTTAAAAATGGCACCCGTCAAGTGCAATCTATTCGTTAGGACGTAGCACGTCGTTGTTATCTATTTCAAAATCAATTGTTCTAATTAAGAGAGACGATCTGATTATCTGTACGCGCGCAAAATAAAGAAATGATAGATCGGGGTACATAGTGTGTTATGCGGTAGCTGTGCTTCCAGTTTGGATGGCTTTGTGAATCCTTGCAGGGGTATTGGCGGAGGTCACCGGAAGTTGCTGGACGGGGCGGGGGGCAAGCTGGCCACGGTCGCCACCAGTCCAGCGGACTCCGAGGAGTCCTCGTTAGGGATACTGGAAGTCGCGCCACCGAGCTCGCAGCATCGAAACAGCATTACCCCACCGTCAGTCCATGCTTTCGTCTTCTCTTACGTATACCCTTCCTTCATGCATACGTCTTTGCTCTTTTTTTTCACCGTCACCAAAAATACAGCAGCTTCTAAGTTTCGCTACTACGAGGAACGTGCTCGCAATGTATCAACATATAAGCATTATTTAATTGTGGACAGGCAATGATTAACTGGATGCATGCGAAGTGTAGTTTCCTGCTGTCTCCTCTTCTAATTACAGTTTATGGAATCTACGTGCTACTAATTCCCACGATTCGATATTTAAGCTGCGATAGAACAGAAATTCGATCGACTTTGTTATCACGCTATTAACGACGCACTTGTTTATTATTTATCGATCCAGATTTAAATTCTGGAATTATACATTTATAAACCGTTTAAATGCGCAGGACGACTTTCATCGCTCTGGTATTAGCTCTGGATAAAACATTCCACGGAAAAGAAGTAAAAGTCATTTATTTTGTTTTAATCGCGCAGCGGATGAAAGTGTGATAAAGTGGGCCTTGAACTGGCCAGTCAGAATTTCCGAGAACGAGCGGACCTTAATGAGGCTTAAGTGCTCTCCAAGCTGGCTTCTACTCCCATTGCGAATGGGCGAGCTACGAACGAAATCTAATTTCACCATGCTGTCGCATGTTGAAAACGAGACGATTTATATTTTGCTAAATCCAGATTTTGTTGATCCATCATCATCTGACGATGAGAAGCAACCAAGTCTGGATGTGCATGTCGACGATGATATCTATCGTTAAAATTTATCCTACATTTTCCGGAAGTCAATTGCGTTGCAGATGATCCGGCAATTTATTTTAACATTTTCTGTAGCACTCTACAAGCATAATCTGTAATTATCCGCAAAAATTTATGATCTGCATGGCTTACACACATTCAACTTCTCTCACAAAAATTCACAGTCTTCATATAAATTTAATTCACAATCACATTCACGATTACTTTTTATATTAAACTGTCAGAAATGATACAATGTTTACAATTAATAATTTATTTATGATAGATATCGAATATATTTTTCGCCCTTATTCTTGAACAAGCAATTTTTGTGTGTAAAAACCTGTCTTATTAATCTTTATCTCATCTATTTTGATTAATGCAATATGTTTGCAATAATCATCTCTTCTATAATTTTTCTCTTTCTCATTTACTTGCGCGCTTAATTAAACATTTTTTCAACTTTCACGCGTTTATATAATCGTCTCGATCAATACCTGCACGAGAAATCGTCTCCTTCACATATTACAAATTTACTGTCTATATCCACAGAAAAGACGCATTGGTTTCTTTATACATTTATCGGACGTTCACGTCTTAACGTGATGTTTTCCCTATTTTAAGCGAATGCGATATATCTACACACCTGCTATATACATACTACTAATGAACAATTCACTTCAAGAGAGATAGATCAACGAGCACATTGGCATGGAATCCATTGTTTGAGAACAACACTTTCCTAATCTTAGAATAATCTTAAACTACACAATTATTTATTAATTGCCTACTTGATATATATTATATTTATTGCTTGTGAATATAATTGTAACGCTACTCTGCGGAGAATTCGGCACAGTATGCAATTGAACTGTTGGAATAGAAACTTTTCCTGAAGAATGGTATTATCTCGCTTGCCTGAACTTATTTATTTTAGCTAAGATTGAACGAATAAGTAAGTTCGAGACGCAAAACGGACGTGCAAAACAACGATCGATCAAGTCTTGCTTTCAAGCATTTAATCGATCGTTTCATTAATCTAATCACATTGGCGAGTAATTGCGAAGAAATGGATTGACGCTGTAACGGAAGATTAAAATTTCTTCCTAAGCTAATCGTCAATTTTTCATAATGTGCTCATCATGATAAGTCGAGGAACAAAATTAATTTTTATAGATCCGCATCGTTAATACATCCGCAAACGTTTAAACTTTTCACAATTCTCGATTTCACCGAACAGAGTGGTGTTGATACTTTTGTCCTGCTTTTTATGCCAGTGCTCGGTTTAACATGTCAAAAACCTGTCGAGACATACGATGAAAATGGAAGGTAATTTATACGTAATTATTCGCAGAAATCCTTCCGGCGGTTCAGGTCTCAGTGAAACTGGATCCCTGGATCGTGCTAAGGCCGCGCTGGAGCGTAGGAAAAAGGCGGAGGACAGCACTGGTAATCCTATCCTCTGTAGAGTTGAAGTCACCAGGCCAAATCCTGATTCTCTTATCGACGAACTGCTTAAAGCAACGAATTTGGAGCAGACGGATCTTGAAAGTTCCGAGAGTGTGTATCTTTCTTTCAATTTATTATAATAATTAAAAAAATGACAATTACCAGAAAGTATAACGAAAGATTCTGTGCCTTTTTCTTTTTTTATATATATTTTTTTTTTTTACGACGAAAAGTAAGAATAATTGTGTAAATTTTAGATATTTTAGTTAACGTAATTAAGTTTTCCAAGTCAAACATTCGAACGATTATGAACTTTATAATTAAATGATTACTTGCCTTTTGCAGCAACTGGTCTTCAACTTTTTATCGCGAAAGATGGCACGACCGCGCTTGGCAGCCACGAGGTAAAGAGTCAAATGCCCGCCGGTGTGTTCAAACAGGTGGTAATGGAAGAGAACAACAGGTAACACGAAGCCATCACCACGAGACGACAGTATACAAGACAGGCCAGCGCCACGTTCTCGTTGGCTCTGGTGCCAGAACTCGTCTACGAGGCCTACGAGCCGCGGTAGTCACAAGAGAGACGACGACAACGATGAACGAGGGAATCGACGTCGAGTCGGAAAGAGCCAGCCAAACGCGACACAAAGTCGCGCCATCCTTGCTAGATTGTTTTAGATTGCTGCTCTCCTCCAAGAATAAAGAAACGCGCCCTCGATGATTTCGAGAGTCAAGTTGACATCCATCGAAGCAAAAACGCAAATGGGATGCTCGAGACGATTACTTTGTGTAAAATCCATTGTACTGATTCGCGGGACCGAGGCTAATGTTGATCATTTCATTAAGTGTGCATTCCATAAAATGTGAATAATTGTCGCGAGATTGTTATATATATATATATGTCTAAACACTCGTTTGATCGAGACAACGATCATACGAGCAGATTTTGCATTCTCCAAAATCCCGTGCAACGAACGAAATCTACATACAATACATTGCTGTTCACGTAGTCGCTCATCGGATTGCATCACAATACAAGAGATGTCAAACGAATACACATATGTTTTCGAAACTAATTCAAAAAAACAAATATACATTTTCTTCCTGGCAAGCGAAGCAATGATCCTTGTCAATCCTTGTATTTCGCTTGAAAGAAGCGTTAGTCAATAAAGTTTAACTGAGTTTAAGGGAATACAGAATGTAATAAAGGAATATAGTTACAGAAAAATAATGATAAGCGTAACGCGGTCAAGGTCCGACGAAACTTTGCAATGGGAAGTAACATCGAGCAAAAACTTAAGCGCCAACTTTATTTATCTATAGCAATACGACGACGATACCTTGTAACGTGGACATATACTGTAAAGGGGTCAGCGTTGAAAGAAATATCAAATTGAGACGTTATATATTGTGATTATATCCTTGTATGAAAGTATTCTTGACAGCATTTCTGACAATATTAGCCGGACGAAAGAATGTTTTCTCAAGATGATTCCTAAGGCATCTTGGGAAATTACATTCTGTCGATATATCGCTTTTGGATTATAATTTTTATTATTTCTGTATATTAACAAATTTATTTTTGCTTTATAATGTAGCATATATTTTTTTTTACTGTTCCTGATTATTTTCTGTTGCGCTTTTTCATCGTCTACGAAATCCTTACACATAATTAATATAAAAACGTGTTTAAATAAATAACAAGCTAGAGGCGAAATCAGCTGAAATAAACGAATTGGTCAGTTAGAAAGAACAATGTAAGTTTACAATTTTCCAAATATTGCAATATGTGTTTTGTGAAACTAAATATAGATTTATAATTTATATAAATATTATATTGTTTTCGAATAACGTTGCTTTGAAAGCGGCAGTTTTGATACTTCCTGAATGATATTCCGATTCTAGAACTGTAATACTTTTAAACTAGCCGATTCTTTTAAATTTATGGGAATAAAACTTGAAGATATTTTTCTGATATAAATGTTTCATGACTGAATATACATATGTAGTTCGTATTATTTTATATTGTCAAGCTCGGCGAAGATGGAGCTCCGTTTCGTCGAATCTTTTCCAAAGGCCCGGTGAAACTTGGCGCGACCGGCTATCCGGTATAGTTATCTGTGTATATAGTTGTAGTAATTGTTACGTAGCTAGATCGCTGGTGTTGTATACACATTCTCTTCGTACTCGAATAATCTGTAATTGCTAGTGTACATTGTGCTGATGTATCAAAAAGACAATGCGAATGCGCGTGTGTAACGATCGTTCGTGTATGTGTGTCTTGTGCGTATTTGTATGTTCCTTCTCGAAGGTTCTTCGTAGATGCCTGCCAGATGGAAGAAAAAGTCGTTAATATGTGTGCTTGGGTATGTCTGAATCGTCGCAAAGGATAGTAAGTACTTCCAGTCCGTGAGGTCCGTTTCGAGAATTAGTCTGAACGTTTCGGTCCTCACGGCTCGTTGCAAAAAAATAAAATAACAGAGTATAAAGTCGATAAAATCGTAAGCACAAATGCTTCTTCAGAGCGCTCTCCGAAGCAATTCGCCGCGATTTGATTTGTCGTACCGATCTTGAACACGTTCGCGAGCGACCTTTCCTCTCTCAGAGTTTCCAAGGTGTTTCCCATCGGGTTCCGCTTTCAAGCTTGAGTTCGTTAATTACGTTAAAAACCGGAAAGACTGTAGAAAAGATGATAATCGCCGACGCTCCGATGGCACATCCGACCGTAAATCGCAGATTTGATGATAAGCAGCCGCGGTGCTGTATGTTTTTTCTTATAAATAATTCGATACGTTCCTTCCGCTCTTGCGTTTTTCTCTTCATTTTTACGTACGTGTGTTTTTTCTTCTAAATCGTATACGAGGTATATGACGTTCGATATCTTTCTCGATTTTGGATACGACCATAATTGTATTGAGTCACTCGAATCGCGAAAATAACTTTCGGCTTAACTCTCAATCACTATGACGAAGTCAAATGTATTTCCATGTCGCGTTAATTTGCAAAACAATAGAAAAATTATTTAATATGTATGCAAAAATTTTTCTCTTAGTACTTTCCAAATTTTAATTTATTATGTTGATTTATACATTTTACATTTATATATAGGGTGTATATACGTGTTGCCTTTTATACCTTTTTATTTGTTATGAAAATAAATAATAAAACTATGTGTGTTTGAATATAATTAATTTTAATGTTTAAAGTAAGAAATAGTGTGCCATTTATTATTAAAATAAATCCGAATCCATACAATAATAAGTATTATTTATCTTTAATCATAGCGGTTGTGAGTTAAAACGCAAGTCGATCTGCAAGTTTTCCCGTGGACATATTTTTTTTTATACGATGTGTCACGCATGTGGTTCTTTTTTTAATAAAGTACGTGCGATAATCAGGAGAGACGATTTCTCCGGAGCGTGTCGTATTCGCCGATTGACCGTTAGTTAATTATTATTGAACGGAATTTCTCGCGAAGAAGGATTCTATGAGCGAGTATCCCTTCTGGCTGAGACACCAATGATTCCTCCTTTTTTTTTTTATATATTGCGTCAAGAAGACTTGTGTGCAAAAAGTCGAATTTCGCTCTTTCGTCGAGAGCTCCTCGCAAGAAATCCACGGTCATAGACCGTTTCATTCGCTCGGCAGACATTAATGTTGTGATATTTTACGATACCGTAATAAAATAAATATTGTTATTACCTGTATTATTATCATCGAGATATATTGTAAACGAAAATACTTTACTTTTATTTCGAGGGCGGCCGCCGCCCGTGTATCGAGCGCCAGGCCTGTCTTCCTTAATTCGCAATTGTTGCACATTTTGCGTCTGATGATTATTTTGTGAGATGAATACAAAATTTCCATGTGCTGATAATAACATTCTGAAAAACCACGCATGTCTCGGTCATTGAAGAATCATCCTGTCCACCATAACGTTTTTGTATGATTGCAAAACAATATGCATGCTATTTATTTTTAGCTTATAAAATTTTGCTAAAATTAAGGAAAGATTTTATGATTAATATATAATATATTTTTAATAGCGCAATCAATTAAATTGTCTTATTAAGTTAGTGGGAAAAACTTTTACGTTGATTTTTTGAATATTCTGATCATTATTCTATTATTAATTTTCTTAGCTAGAATTTTCCAATTGTTGCATTTTCTAATTGATATCTATACATAAATTTATTAAGATTAATTAACAGAAAATAGAATGTAACAGTGTTATCTAATTTACTAGTAATTTTCTATATCATTCGTAAGATATTAAAAATACGTTTTTTTAAGTATAATTCAGATACAGGTAGATCTTTAAATTAGAATAATAATAATGTACATTTTTTTAAAATATATTAAAATTGTTAAAATAAATAACGCTGTTAAAAATTATCATATTTTTGAAATATATTTTATTTAATATATAAATATAAATGGTATATATTTTATTCATTTATGAACTTTTGCATGCATTTTGTTCTTTGTTTTGTTCTTTTTTTATGAATTTTTGCATTCACTTTTGTTCTTTGTCTTTGTTTTATCTTTGTTCTGATTTGAAATTTATTTATTTATTTATCTGAGGTATCAATAATTTTTACGTCAAGATATAGATAGGTCTGTACAACGAACAAGCATTTAGCAAGTAAGCATTTATCAAGCAACAAACAAGATTAATATAATTTTTGAATATTTTTAAATTATTGAAATAAATTATTGAAATTTTAATTACTTGATTAATAAATAATCAGATCTAAAAACTTTTCAATTATTTCATTACTCAATAATCAGTATCAGATTTTTTTTTATTATTTAGTTGATTATTTTCTTAATTATTTTTTTTTGATATATCAGTTACTGATTAATCAAGTAATAAAAAAATTTCTCAATTTTGATTAATGATTAATAAAATAATTAAAACTTTTTTCATTTTTATTATCGAGTACTTAAATAATTAAAAAATTTTCTATTTTGATTATTGATTATTCGAGTAACCATTTTTCAAATTTGATTATTGATTATTTGAGTAATCATTAATCAAAGCTAAAAATATTACTGAAAATATCAATAATGCCGATCCCTGGACTAAAGCTTCTAACAAATCTTGAAATATCCATCCTGTTCACTCAAGTTGTTTACATCGAAAATCAATATGGGATAGTGTTAAAATTTTAAATGTTTAATTAATTTTAAACATAATCTACGAAAGCGATTGATTTCCGAAACCGCTTTTCATTAAAAGATAGATTAACTTTAATTCACAGTTTGATACTGAATATTTATATCACGCATATGTTTCCGTCTTGAGCAAGTTGTAAACTTGTGTTGTTTTGATTGTGGTCTTGTCAATTTTAAAAATCATTATTTATTATCTTGAATGTTATCTGAAGGTATGCATACGCTATGATGTAACGAGATTTATACTGCTCTCTTGCATGCGTTTTTTTTTTTATCGACCTGCATCCATTTGATGAGTGACAATCATTTTATGATGCTTCTTTATTTTTATTTCATACGAACGTTTTGAACATATCATCTCTTGTCAAAATTTATTTAACATTTGATAATTTAGTCAACTGACCTGAGTGACATATTATTATTATTATTCTTTATGATTGGGCTCACCGATGGTTGGACTCAGAGATATTCTTACTACATTTTTGTATCACTGAAAATGACTCAAATTCAAAACGTTTGGCACTTTTTATTAAAAAATGAAGTTAAGATTAAATATATAATTTGCGCACCATTTACAGCACTGACTCTCACTAGTTTTGTTATTGTCTATTATTAAAATATATTCTTCAATATATTCTTGAGAATTGGATGACCACTTAACATGAGTAGGTCTTGAAATTGTAATAGCATCGATGCATAATTTTACATTGCATATTATTAAGTTGAAATGAGAATCATCTGTTAAACGATTTAAATTATTATTTATTTTCCATTACAATCTTTCCAGTATAATTTATAACCCAGAAAGTACAAAGTTGAAAATCAGAACATCTCAAAACGTCTTATAATTGGGATTATTCCAGTTTAACTTACTAATTGTTGAAATAAAACATGCTTTTAAAAGTGATTTGAATTATTTGTTTGTTTCTCGTGTAAACATTACATAATCTATTCAGTATAATTTATAATCCAAATAGCACAAAGTTGAAAATCAGAACATAAAACATCTTTAAAATGTCTTATAATTTGAACTTTTCGAATTTGGACTTTATACTGTTCGAGAAATCTTACGTTCTCTAAATTATTATATAAATTATTCTTATAAGTTTATTCGATCTCTTGTGTATCTTAATAAATTTGCTGAATTTGTTTAAATCTTTAATTCGCGGTGTGCTTCGATTTGTTGATTGTTGAGATTGTCCGATACGCTTTTAATCTACGAAAATGTTATAAATTTGTAATTTCTACAGGAACATTAGTACTAAATTATTTGAATTTGTAAGATTTAACATTTTAATATTAGTATTTAAAATTAACGTTAACGTGCACTAAATACGTGTGTGCATACATGTAATTAAATTATATCTTGTTTATTCTTGCATTGACCTTTACGTTCTCATTTAGATTTCGAAATATTTAATTATATCTTATTAGTCGCAAATCATTTTCTGAGCAGAAAAAATTTGCAGGATACAGTTCTTTTGAGCTTAGTCACTTAGTCAATGTAGTAGGAATCGGAATATCCAAAAAAAAGAAAAGGCGTATAGTGATAAAATCTATACATATAGTGTCTTATGATATCGGGTCTCATCATATAGTGTTACTTCAGAAGTGCTTGTATATCGAACGAATATTACAAGTTATTCTTTCTCAAAAACAAAATTTCATATAAAAAATTTACTTTGTATTTCATTTTGTATTTTTATTTTTTATTTCGTATTTAATTTTTATTTTTTAATTATTAATTATTTAATTTTTTAATTTTTTATTTAATCTTATTTATTTTTATCTTTTTTCAATTTTTATTTATTTTTCTTCTTTTTCATATAAAATCACTCTCTATCCGACTATACTCAATTCCGGAACATTAACATGTCAATATACAGGATGTCCCAGAAACTGGGGAACGAGCCGCAGTGGAAGTGTAGAAGAAATCAAGGGGAACAAAAAAGTCTAATACCATTTTGTGATATTCGCTCTAATTTTCGAGTTATAAAATAAAATATCCGAACCAATGAGTGGCGACGCCGCGCTGTAGTATCGCCTACTGCTCCTAGCTTATTGGCGCGTGGCGCGCGATGGGAGGGAGGTGACGTGTCGCCGCCTGAACAGCGAACGGCCTTGGATTTCGCCACACTACAAATCCAATATGTTTATGTATCTCTGAAGTTTTTTTTTTACACTTTTTTTATACCATTATAAATTACTCTATTTAGCATTTCATTTAAATACATCTTAACACAGACTAGGTTAGGTTTATTAAACGACGCAATTAATTAGAGCGCTACGCAAAGCTTATGCTAAAGTTCGGATATTTTATTTTATAACTCGTAAATTAGAGCATATCACAAATTAGAGAATATCACAAAATGATATTAGACTTTTTTTGTTCTCCTTGATTTCTTCTACGCTCCCATTGCGGCTCGTTCCCCAGTTCTGGGACAGCCTGTATAAGAAAATCTCGATATTACATACCCGATACATCAACTTGAAGAAACTTAGTTGTGAAATCTCACGAATTTCTGCATTTTAAAAATCACATTTTTTCACGCATAATTGATACACACTTCATTATGTATAAAATTCTGTATGACACTGAGCACCAAATGGATGCATATTTTTGATGTGTACACGATAAGACAGACATTCTTACACAATTGTGAAATTAAACATCTTACGCAAAAATGATCGTGGAATATTACACATGTTACCGCGACAGAAATAACCTTGATGTTTCATCTAATTTTGTTCTACATTTTTATTCCATTGCAAACAAGTATTGAAATTAAATGTTTTTGCAAACAAAATTGATCCATCTCTGGTGTAAACTGGTTCTTGCTATCTCGTTTCATGACAAAATAAAAAATATTTGATTCTCACAATTTCTCAATTAAAGAGTAATAAATATAAACTTCTAATACGTTTTACGTAATGTCGAATGTGTAGGGGGAAAAGAGAAATAATGAAAGAAATAATTTTGCTATTGCTACACGATTCTATAGTAAAAGCAAATCGACTTTTACCTGAAATGTCTCTTAGTATAATAACAAATTTTTAAATTATAGCCGTGAAAATATTTGGTCATCGAATTTCAAAAATTGTTTTCATGTTTTCCAACTACATGAAGTTTAAAACAAAAAAAAAAAAAAAAAATTAATAGGAAATTAGTTTTCTTAGCAAAGTGAACGCCATCATGTTGTTACACTTCATACATTGAAATTAATATAAAAAAATCTTTAGTGAAAATTTGAATGACACACGATCGATAGAACAACGATTTATACAATCAGAAGGGAAGAATGAAGCTTTCTAGCGCAGATCTTACGTGATGTAATCGACGTACGTTGGAAACATCAATATATACGTATTACATTATACGCTGTTTCACGGTTCAATTCAATTTCGTTATACTGATATCGATCGAAAATAAGTGCGATTCAGCTGTTATATTATGAGCATAACAAATGCGAATTGCGAGGTTATTTTAACGAGAGATATTTCTTACGAAAATCCAGAAACATTCCGTAAGATATAATCAGTTGTTACGCAAGAATTATTAATTAAGTATTATGTATGTTACGCGTGTGGTTTTATAAAAACATGAATGAATATGAATTGTCAGAGAAAGATAGAAAGAATAGAATAGTATAACTTACGTGCAACATCAAATTAATACGTGTACATTAACTGACGGACTGTGTCTATTTATAAATAAAAAATAAATAAGATTATAGATTTGTTTGATAGATAAGATTTGTATCTATTCATCTCTTACATTATGTCTACCATTAAATTAAGTACATTGCATTTTTTTTTAAATTATTGCATTTTAAATTATTGCATTTTAAATTACGCATTCTTAAATATACGTGTTCGTAAAATATAAAATATAATGCAAATATATTGAAAATATATTAATAATGGGAAGAAACAATTTTATTAAAGTATTTATAAATTTGGCCAATACAGATTTAGAAATGATTTTGTTGGACTAAAATAATACCATTCCTAATGTTCTTTTCGTAATGTCAGCACTTTACTTCTTTATATTCAGAAATAACAATTTCCGATATAATTAAGATAATATATATATAATATAATAATTCGACCGCTTTCACCAACTCCGATTAATGTAATCGGCCGATTATTCTATTGAAATTGATCAATCAATATTTGTTGTTAAATGTGTAAACAAATTGCGATTGGTCAATTTCATTAGAATTTAAATGGCTGATTAAATTAACCAGAGATTGATGAAAGTGTCTCAAGCATATCTTTCAATAAATAATTACGATAAGCGTACAAGTGAAAGAAAAGTATCAGGGCGAGAAGCTGAAAATATTCTGGTAGTCTACAATGGAAATTTCCAAGTTATTTCTCAAGAAATTTCCAAGAATTATAATGAACAATTATAAGCGGAAAACATCTAGGAAATAGATTTTAATTATTCATGCTCTATCTTTTTTTGCCTGTGTTTTATGCAAGATTATGTAAAATTTATATATAAAAACTTAATTATGTATAAAAAAAATTAATATAAGCGCTCGTGTGACGCAATTAAAAACTAAAAAAACTAAAAATCAGTTTGTAAGAGGCGATAATTATTTAGATTCATAGCTTCTTACTTATTTTTGTATTTAATTTTTTTATTCTGTCGGTTTCCGATATATTTTACTGTTTCTTTTTGCAATTTTTTCCCATTTAAATATATTTTTCTCTAATTATTTATTATTTCGTATGCATTACTCGAACTTAATAACCAATGTTTATATCTAATTATTTGTATTATTCATACTATACATTGATAAAGCCTAAGTAGGTCGAAACATTTGTACATCTAAGATTATGCGATTCAAATCTTTTATATAGATTTATTTTCGTTATAATATATTCTTTCATTGCTTGTTTTCTTGACCTTCTTCTTGCCTTCTTTTATTTAGAATAACTTAAATTGGACTTTCAATTAGAAATTGTCATTTTCTTAATTTCCTGATTCAATCATTTATACTTAATAATTTTTTAATTATTTTTTCACCTATTACTATAAATATCTCTTATGATATTATATGATATATGATATATAAAAATAATAATTCAGATTAAATTAAATTGTTTATATATTTTAAATATTTTTATTTTTATATATAATAATGTAATAATAAGTATATATATTTTGCAAATTTGATATTTAAAATTGATATTTAAAACAAGATTGGAAAAGATACAAATCAGTTAATTAATTATTAACTTTATAATCTTTTAAAAAGGAAAATATCTTTTGCTTGTAAGCAAATCCCACATGTGAAATAAAAAATAAAATTTCTTCTTTAAATATATTCTTTTCTAATTATTTATTATTCTCTAATTAATTATTATTTTTTAATTCCAATGGATCGTTTATGAAAGTTGAAGCAGGTATAATACAATAGAAAAAAATTGTACAATTCTGAAATTAATTTCTCAGCTTGTATAGCTTGTACAGCTTGAGAATAATAATATATAATAAATTTGTTGCATATAACTAAATTTGTCTAGTTTCTTTTACAAAATTTTTTTGAAAGAAAATATTAGCATAAATATCAGCGATTAAATTATCGTACACAATAACGGTGGTGGGGCACCGTCACAATATCGAAAGAGTCGACGGGGAGGACGTTTTCGCTTTCCACTACAAATCCACGTTAACTTCTCCCTATATAGGCCAGTCCTGTACTGGTCGTCGAATCTCGCTGACTGATATTAATTTCACGCCAACGTTTTGTGCAAAGCCAAAGAGAAATATATCCGCTAACAAAACTCCAAAACAGTGCGCCAACGCGTTTTGCGCACACGGAGTTAATAAACAGTCCTTTTTTTAAGTTTATAATTTCTCGAAATAAACATGGTTCTTTTATCTCAACAATAGAGGATAAAATATATAAAATTTTTAATCTGCATGCTAAAATTCATCGCGCGAATAAAGCGCAGCTTTGCTCCGTCTTCTTGCGTCTTCAGGATCAGCTTCGTGAATGAATAATTTCACCAGTCCGAAGTGACGAAGTGGAAGTAAATCAACTGTTGGATGCTAAAGCCGCATCATGTCGCGTCAGCGACTTGCGTTTATTGTGCGCGTTTGTCATTTCGTCGTGTTATTTTGCACAATTTCTGCACAATTTCACGAATCTAACGTGACCGACACCAGCATTCGTTTACTGCCCGCCTATGCCGTCGCCTCGAAAGCTAATCTCCTCGAAGGGACGATATGCGGAAAGGAATTACGAGACTTCCGAGATGCTGTCGATCGCCGGATACTGTGGGCCTTGAAGAGTAAGTAAAAATTCATGTTGCACCACGATTGTAAAAATTTTGTCAGTAAACTGGTCAAACGCAAAGTCAAGAAAATTAATCTTAATAAACGGCCATTTACGTTTAGCATTATGAAGAAATTAAAGTTTCGTCATTTAATAGCTAGAAATTAAATCGGTGATTTTTATACCTTTGTTGATAAAAAAACTAAAGGGAATCGACTAGAAATAAATGAAGACATCCGCATAGAAAAATTATTTCATTTTGATATCTATAAATATCGATAAATTATTTAATCCTCCGAGATTTCGTAATTAAAGATTTTATTAATTATATAATTGACGCATTCCTTTATGTGGTGAGAGAAAGCAAATACAAGCAAGTAAACTCTCTCTGAGATCAAGTAACAAATTAATTTTACCGAAACTTAACACGGTAAAATATATAATTATATAGAATACGTATCCATATAAAAAAATATATAATTTAATATAATTATATATAATTGTATGTTAATACATATATTTATATGCGATCATATTTATTATATAATTGATCACACGCAGAAAACACATTTTTTTTTGCCGGAAATTAATTCAAAGGGATAACTTCAGGGAATTTCGTTTAGAGCCAGCGGAGATACTAAAATACTAATCTTTTTCCATTGTAAACTTTGTGATTAACTCTCTGAATTTTCTCAAGTAAGTTCGACGCATTCGTCGTAAAATGCGGTAGATCATTCATTATTACAAGCCTGTGAAAAGTGACACCTACGTCGAGATTACCTCGAGATTATCTCGGGTAAACTCGAACGCGTTCTCTTTTAGAGAACTTGCACTTCCGGCAGCGTGAAACCGGCATTCGGAGTGTGCGAGCCGCATTCCGAGTGTGATAATATCCTTTACTCATTATGCAACATATTTTTCCATAAGTGTATTACCGTCGCGCGATTGTGTCGGACGCGTAACTGATCGGTCGGTTGGGGCACTTATGCCCGAATCAACTTTCTTCGTGTTACACAAGGAACAAGTTTTCTCAAGCCACCAGGGAAAAGCGTCTGTTACGCGTGTGCACGCAGCGTGATTTTCTCTCGTTTCATCTCGAGGATCCCTGGATCCCGTGGATCGAGGCACGAGGCGCCGCGTATCGCTCGTATTTAACATTTGCGGCACATTGCAGAGACGAGAGCTGCACACTTTCTTAAGTACACAATGTAGCCTTTAAGCCCCGGATTTTGAATATTTTTTGACACTATGCACATTTGTTTATTTATGTGTACGACCTGAGTGAAAGTTAGCGTTAAATAAATCGCACATCGATCGGTCTTCGATATAGATATAGACGAACTACTACTTTGTTTCGTTACTACACACGAAAAGAGCAAAGAGAGTTTTTTGTTAAAACTCATGTAAAAGTTTATACATGAGGTAAAATAATTTTGAAAATAATCTCTGAAAATAGTAATAATTTTGAGCGCCATCAAAATATTATTTATCAACGTAAGATATTCAAGTCGGTTGCTGGAATATTAAAAATATGTTTGTAATATAATCAAATCAAATCCAAACGTTCTGTTAATTAATTATTTCGAAAATGGCGGAAATTATTTTCAGATCTGTGTTTTTTTTTGATCAAATTTTTAGATTTTCAGCAAAACCGATTTTTCCATCGTGGATAACACGAAATATTTAAGAGCGAATCTTTCATAAATCTGTAATTAATGAAAATTTCAGGTGATTGACTGACATCAAGTGAGAAACGGTGTTCAATGTTTTCGCGCAAATAAAAATTGTATTTTTGTTAAAAAAATTTCTTTTTCCTTCAAGCATTGGATTCCAGCGGCGGCCCTAAATCGGGTTTCTTTTATGGAAATAATTTTTGGCTCGGCAGTCGTAGCCAATGTCTCGATACGATGAACAGACGTCGCTTCGAGATAGCAGAACGGCATATATTAAATGACACACAATATCGCGACCCGCAAACGGAATTTCCGCCTTTCGAAGTGAATTACTTCGCTGCCCATTTCAGACACAACAGTACCCTTCAGTATCACGGTCACATACGAAACGAAGTAAGTTTGATACGGTATATATATATATATAAGTGAATCCTTCCCAAATCGTTTGACGGGATGTCATGCGTTTATTATCTGGATACATTAATAAAAGCTATCAAAAATGTGAAATCTGCGATTTTTCATTGACACCATGCCCGATATTAAGATGTAGAAAAATGCTATATAGAAAAATTTTCGGATCGTAGGATTTAATTACGCTTGGCCTCTGTTTACCCGCATCATGTTCCACAAATAATCTCAGCTTCATTCTGAAAGAGATATTTCGTGATAGAGTTCTTTTAATCAGTGATCTCTATTCCATGGATCTCAGTCTGGTCCGTGTTAAAGACTTAAAGGACGATCATCAATGGCTATTCAGCGGGGCAATACCTTTCATACTGTACGTTGAATGACGTGTAAAGACGAAACAGTTAACAGTACAGATAAACAATAATAGCTTTGTTAAACTTTCATGCGCTTGTAAAAAGAGAAATTATTAAATTATATTTACATAAATTAATTTTATTGTTTTAGTGTTGTTTTAATATTTACCTTCGCCATGATGATAAGCGGCACAATATATGACATATTCGTGTATCAAAAATATTTGAATACAAAAAATGAAGCTGTCGTTGGTAAGTATACGTAAAACTTCTTAAGCTTTTTTCAGTAACAGATATCGATTGTATTATATTTCTCGTATTTTCAAAAAGAAAATCGCGCTCATGCCTCTGCATTGAAATTATTTCCTTAATTTAGAAATTTTTATTTTAATAAAATTCTGTAAAAAAGTTTTCTCGCATTCACATACTACCTCATCGAAAGAACGATTCTGCTGAAGAATTTAAAAATTTGATTATAAATCTGAAAATAATTCTGTTGGACGAAATAATTATAAATAATTAAATAGAACACTTAAACATAATAATAATAATAATAATAATAATAATATAAAACTTTTAGCAATCAACTTGAGCGTAATTATTATATATGCTTTAGCAAAATCGTTCTTTTCGCGCTGCAGTATTCATTTCTATGATGTAATACTTTCTTTTTCTCCAATCTTTTTCTCATTAATATCTTTGTCATAAGACGATCGGCAAACATGTTTCAAGATTTTTACGATGTAAATACTAATAAATTCTGTATTGTGCTTGAGGTGTAAAAAGCGTAGACAGGGAAACGAAAATGACGAATTCGTCATTTCCAAGCAAGAAAAACAGAATGGAGAAGGTGCTAATGTGTTTTTCCGTTTACACAAATACAAAAATATTATTTAACACGGAATTGAATGAGGAAATGATACCGGTTATTCACGGCTTAAGATTTCTGAGCATGCTTTGGATAATCATAGCCCACACTGTGCTGTACACGATGGACTATTTCGGCAAGTATCCTGATTGCAAAAATTGTAGAATTGAATACTATTTATCGTCTTATTTTTCAAGTATAACGCACGTCATTTCGCATATGTAGACAATAAAGTGTGGAATCTAAGATTCGCCGAAGGTATACCAATCCAAGTGATAAGCAACGCGACCGTATCGGTCGACACTTATTTCTTTTTAAGCGGGTTTTTACTGGCCTATGTGTTCCTGAAGGCTAAAACAACGGACAAAGGACGGGGCAAGTCGGTTAATTATGCGAAGATGCTAAAGGAGTTCTTTGTCTGTGCAATAAGAAGATTCATCCGGTACGTTTTCTCCGCTTATCTCCGATTCGCGCGGACAATAGACAAAAGACAATGCTAAGCATCAACAGAATCAACGGTAGAGTAAATGAGCGAATTAAGGGAATACGATTTAAAAATTTAAATTACAAACGGCAAGGCAGATAGATAGTAAGAACGTGAACGTTTCTGTTTTCGTCGAATGTTTAATGCCATCTAAAAATTCCTTTCCTAAGATTGACACCGCCTTACATGATGACGATAGGAATATTGCAATTGAACTGGACTTGGTACGACAAGACCTCGCAGTTCTACATGGAGGAGAAATCGCATGAGACTTGCGCGAAATATTGGTGGAGGAATCTCCTGTACATAAATAATCTGTTCGGTCACGACACGATGGTAACAAACACGTTAATTAAATTGCAATATTACAATCTGACGCCACACTCGCGAAAGCGCGAGGTTCAGAAAATTTCTTATTCTGAAAAAAAAACTATTGAAATTTCTCATTTTTCTTCTTCTTCTTCTTCTTGCAGTGCATGAACTGGAGTTGGTATCTGGCTGCTGATATGCAATTCTTTATGATCGGTACGGCACTCCTGATTCTGTCGACTGTGTAAGTTGTTGATCGGTCACCGACCAGCGTTACGTATACGGAAAGAAAACGATTTTATTGAGGTATCTAAAAATTTGGCTACAGATATAGAACTGAAAGTGATATTGTTGGGCTGTCAAAATAATTATGTAAGACTCTTAAACGTAATAACAATATATATTGCAGAAATTCTTGATAGCTCTAACTCTATTCTAGCAACCATGATGGATCAACAAAATTACTTTGACATCTGCACCTGGACAAATTTTTAGATAAACTTTTAATAAAATTGTTCTTTCCGCGTGTATTTTTTTTATATCTGAATAAACGTAAGCTGCAAATTCCAGATATTTTTATGCGGCCGTTGCTATACTAGGCACACTTTTAATAAGCTCGATTATACTAAGCGGTTATATCTCGTACATTTATGAATATGTCCCAACGTAAGTTGCAAAATCATCTTATTGTGGTCGTGAGAGATTAATTAGATAAATAAGCGCTCTTTCATATAGCTTGTTATTATAGCTTGGACGAACAATATAGACTTTTGGATGTCTTATATTATCCACCATGGCTTCGAATAGGTCCATATATTATTGGAATGATTACAGGCTACATTTTAGTAAAACTAAATAAAAAAGTAGCCTTGAAAAAGGTAAAATATGAATTATACTTTTATATACAAATTTATAGTTATATTATTATATTAATTATATTATTTATAGTTATTTTATAGTTATATTATTATATTAATTATATTATGTATAGAAACATAAACGTAAACAAAAACGTAAAATATAAACATAATATAAAAACATAAATCATCGTTAGACTAAATATTAAAATAAAAGTACTGCAAAGTACTGATTAATAATCAGGCAATTAGATTTCTGTTATTCTTAATAATTCAAAATGTAAATTTAAATTGTCTATAGCAAATTAATAATCTTTCTCAATTTGATCTTTAGAAAAAAAGAATTCAATTAATCGCGCATCTATAACCGCGTTTCACAGAACTTCAACAGAACTTCAAAAAAACTTCTTCTGCTGCTTATGCACAAGGTATCCCAGAACTGGGGAACGAGCCGCAGTGGGAATGCAGAAGAAATCAAGGGGAACAAAAAAATCTAATACCATTTTGTGATTTCGCTCTAATTTTCGAGTTATAAAATAAAATATCCGAACTTTAGCATAAGCTTTGCGTAGCGCTCTAATTAATTACGTCGTTTAATAAACCTAACTAGCCTGCGTTAAGATGTATTTAAATAGAGTGCTAAATAGAGTAATTTATAATGGTATAAAAAAAGTGTAAAAAAAAAAACTTCAGATAAATAAACATATTGGATTTGTAGTGTGGCGAAATCCAAGGCCGTTCGCTGTTCAGGCGGCGACACGTCACCTCCCTCCCACCGCGCGCCGCGCGCCCGTAGCTAGGAGCAGTAGGCGGTACTACAGCGCGGCGTCGCCACTCATTGGTTCGGATATTTTATTTTATAACTCGAAAATTAGAGCGAATATCACAAAATGGTATTAGATTTTTTTGTTCCCCTTGATTTCTTCTGCATTCCCACTGCGGCTCGTTCCCCAGTTCTGGGACCTTGTATATTATTAATTATTTATAAATTAAGATAAATTGACTGATTTATCCCTTTATAGTTGAAAACAGCTGTAATAAAAACCACGTAATAAGTAAAATGAGAAATAATTATAAATGTATAAAAAAATTATTTCATTCAATTTCCAAGCTAATTTTAATATGCTACATACAATATTTTAATAATATGTAAATTTTAGAATATGGCAATCTTTTGTTGGTGTCTTGGTAGCGCTTGCAATATTTTTGTGTTATTCGGTCTTTACAAACGACAAATATCCATTTTGTCTACTGCTATTTACGTGGCATTAAGCAGAACAGTTTGGGCCATAGGTATAGCATGGATCGTAATAGTATGTTATACTAAATACGGAGGTTAGTTAATTTAATACATAAATTTAATAGATAAATCATTTCGTCATAAATAAATTGTTGTAGTACAATTATTAATTATATAGTGATTTATAGTCAATTTAATCCTTGTTCAATCTAATTTAATATCATTTTTAAATTATTTTATAAACATTTTTACAATAAATAAAGGATATTATAATTTTACAAAAAGGTATGTCATTAATACTTGACTTTATTACAGGTATTGTTAAGGAGCTGTTAACATGTAAAATATGGATTCCTCTTAGTAGACTCACATACTGCGCTTACCTTTTAAATCCTTTCATTATACATTCCATTCGACTGCATAATGAAACATCCGCTCACTTAGAATTTTTGTCCATGGTAAGTATACAAACGTTTAAAAATCCAGCATCAACGGAAAAATACACTTATTGTCATAATTTTCGTTTTTAGAGCGCCATGATTATGGGACACTTTGGGATTAGTTATTTCTGCGCTTACGCATTATATTTGATGGCGGAATCACCATATATTTTACTAATGCGAACACTCATCCAATCTTACAGCAGGAAAAAATATAAGAAACGTGAGATTGCAATGGGAGTGATGTTGTAATTATAACTAAAACTGAGAATAAAATAAAAGCAATTTATATACTAAAATCTCTCTATGCATTTGTACGAAATTATATCAGACTTCAATAAAGCTTGACGATAAGCTGGGTATATACAACTCGCATCCATATAAATTATGTGGAAGGAATGTTAACGTATGCGGTTAATTCATTAAAACGCAGAAATGCGCACGATTCTAGATTTGTCTTTATCAAGTGGGCGTATTATACATAACATCCACAAGCGGAATTCAGTCAAAATATCTTGTACTGACTCGAGGGAGTACATCAAGAGTTTACAGCTCATTTACAAAACTATAAATTATCAGACAGTCCGAGTTCCCCGTGGCGCTATATATGCACCGGGGAATGTATCCTAGGTGGTGCTGGCGAGGTAACAGACCGATTCGCACGTGAGGCCTGCTCGCGTTTACCTTCCTCCAGTTGCTTCTCGAGCTGTTCTTTCAAGACTAAAAGCTCTCTTGTTCTTTGATAGACCGGATCCTTTAAACAAGCAAAAACAGGTATATGTGCATGCATATATATATGTATGATGAAAATATTTTATAATTTGTTAACTGTTTAATATGATGATCCTATTGAATATTGTTATACCTGTTGTCGCATACTGGGGTTCCACCTACAATATAGACTTTTCCATGGTTTGATATACCGCATACTGGCAACGGGCATTAGAACAAGCTGATAATTCGTACCGGATCGGTAAAGTGGATTCAAATAAAGAGGTAATTGACTGTTGGTATATGACCAGAGAGAAACTGTTCTTTGTTTCACTTGTTCTTGCATTCTTTCACGTTCACTGTAAACATAAATTTATATGATACGTATACACAACAAATATAAAACGCAAATTATTTATCTATAATAGTACCTGCTAAATAAGAACGTGCCAAATCTGCAAGAGTAGAGATGATCGAGAATAGTGATTAAAAAATGTTCATTAAATTCGAAAGCGTTTGGGAATTGCCGCATTATTTGCCAAACGCAATCGATAAATTGTAAAAACACCGGCGATCTATCTGCATCGCTATGATGTTCATCTCCATGGCCTATCCTCTAAAAAAATCATTACTAATTATAGTCAATGCAACGATTAGATAGAACATCGTATAAAAACAATTTTAAAAAATCAATTTACCTGTTGAAATTTATGCCCAAAACTAAGCCACTCTTTTTCTATTAGAACTTCGAATCCTTTGACTGTTCTATAATACGGATCTAACATTAACATTGCGAGCGCTGTAAGCTAAAAAAAGAGTTAATGATAATGTGCATAATAAATATAATAATATCATTTTTTCGATTTTCAATACTCAAGATTAATCAATTGAAATATGAGAAATTTGTCGAGCATAATTAGATTAAATTATTGTTATTTGTTACTTAAGATCGTTTCTGTGATCAAAGAAATGAATTTTTAAGAATAAATTGTAAAGCACATTTTGTTAAAAAATATATTTACATAATTTTATATCTAAAACTTATATAAAAGATTGAGATAAATTTTTAATTAAAATAGCCCACAAAGAATGTTTTATCCATTCATTCTCAAAAACGCATTTCATTGTCAAATGAAACAATCTCTTAAAAAATAAAATAAATCAACTAAAATTAAACAAAGTGTTTACCTGTGCTGTTCGATCCCATCCATCAGAACAATGGACCAGGACTGAAGTCTTGTGATTTTCAACTTTATCCACAATTCTCACAGCCCCAGCGAGAACACATTTAATATGCTTAAGCCACATAGTTGATTCGATACCCGATAGCCATCGAGCTTCGTCAATTGTAGGAAAGCATAATTCTGAAACAAAGTCATGTAGACTAATAAAAAAGAAAGAGAAAAAACTTTCTTTCTTTCTCTGAATTGTGTATTAACCTAATTGTAACAATTCTGATACCTTTTAACTTCCTGAGACTTTCTCTCATGACATGTATATTGTGAATATCGAGAAAGACTAATTCTGCATTCTGATAAGCGTCTTCACTTTCATATCCACCGCCTTTCGCTTTGTTCGCTATCGCATTTGGCATCGGTCGTGCATCCATAATAAAAAGTTTGTGACTTTGTGCGTTAGCATCCATTATCAGCTGGACATACCTCTCGTCCTCGCGACTTCGTTTGCCCCCGACACCTACTAATGGCTGAGCGCAACGAGTTATCGTCGCTTGGCTTTCCGGATGAATCCACGAGAGAACCGGCAGTCTACCTCTACTCCGAAAAGACGCGGAGGCTTGAAGATCCTCATCGGTCGCTGCGGCAGGCACTGCCCAGACAGCTGGATAACTGTCGCATAGTGAATATGTATCATTGATTTTGGATATTTTCCACATGTCGTTATTTACACCCTGAAATTCCACGAGAAACAGTATAAAATTTTAAACAAATTGTTATATATAATAATGTAGCGTTATAGAATCCTCGAATTTTTAATAAAATGCTTCCTCTTAATTTGTAATTACATATCTTTACTTACCATTCTCTTTAATTCTGCAATAGGTTCGTAAACATTCCAACCATTTTCGGAAAAAGTCTCAGAGTATTCGAAGGCGAAGAGAGGTAATTTGTGAGATAATGGAAAAGAATATTGTTGTAATTTCTCGAATACGTCTCGTCTGGAATGGTTCTCCTGCTTGTGAGCAAATCTGAGATTCCTCATATCTTTACAAAACACTTCAATCCCGTAAGAATTTTCCCCTCGACTCGACGCACCGCCAACTTTTTCAATTCGACTAACAACTCCCAACGGCACTTCAACAACGTAAGGCGTTTCTCGATCTATACTACGAAAGTGAAGCTTGTAGTTCGTAACACTAAGGATTCCTCTGGCAGGCCCTGAGTAAGGACACAAGTAGGTAACTTCGTGTGCAATGCCTTGTACCCGTTCTCCATTCAAGAGTGGTGGTCCCGTATCTCCTCCAGACAAATTCTAAACAAAATAATAATATAAGTATTCAACTCTAAATATGATGCGATAAAGAAAGATTTTTCATAACTTCATAACTTCAACAGAAAATACAACAATAAATGTATAAAAGTAAAAGTGAAATAATAGAAAAATATGTTATACACAAGCAAATGCAGTACTTTAAAGAAAATAAATTTCATTATTTGTCAAGCATCATTGAATATTTATACAAATAAAAAAATGTTATAATTGTATGAACAAAAATAAAAATTCTGCACTTAGATTGAGCACGAACTCACTTTTACTTGATTATCTTTTTTAGCCTCTAGAGCAGAGACTATGTTATTATCTGTTGAAGTGGAGCTTGAAGAAAAACTTTTTGAGTGTGAAGCTTTTTCCCAACTCTCCTAAAGAAATTTATAATTTATCCAAGATTTAGTAAATAGTACGCTATATTATTGGTCTATGTCATCAGTGTTAAATAAACTATTTCATACCGATTCCTGACCCATTTTTGAATTAAGCGAATTGCTCTTGCTGTCTGAATTAAGGGAATCTGAACTGGCATTCTTGGAATTGCTTTGCTCTGCACCTAGGAGTTCTGCACTGCCCCTCTTTTCCATACTTGTATCAAAGACAGTCTCAAATTTCTCTACTTTCGTTGCAATGACATTCTTATTTTTAGCTTCATTTATTACTATCTATGATTATAGAACCCGTTTGCACCTGTATACAAATAATTATAATAAATATGTAATTTAAACGAAGCACACGAAAAGTTAATACTTTTTTACACTAATCCTAATTTTAAAAAAATTAAACTGACAATATCAAAATAACAATAATCTGGATATTAAATGAGATAGAACATCCATACTTGCAAGTATCTAGCGGTGAATAATATTCAAATATATTTTGGATACGATAAAGATAAAAAAAAATGTGAAAAAAACGTAAAGAATAACATAATTAAACATGTTTCTATATGCTTTCTTAATTTTTACCTCTGTGACATAACCTCACGAAATTTGCAACGATTGTGATAATATGATAAAATAATGTTAACTACAACGAGTTCATAATGAAATTATTGGTGCGCGATATTAATGACATATACTTTCACAGATAACTTACGACGAAAAGAAAATTTAAGAGTACAATTCAATTGAAATTGGAAGCAAAACATGCCGTGCCACGCCCAGAGATATATAGGTTGATTTATGTCTTCGAGACGAGCAACAATTTCGGCTGCATCGAAATCCGTTCATTACGTCGAATACAAACCTGCATCACTTTGTATTTATGCAATGTATCTCGTAACGCTTCTGTCAGTGCAACGTACTTTTGACAGAAGCAGCCATTTCGCACGCAAATCTCGACAGGTGACGCTGTGCTCCTCCTCTTAATATGACTTAGTTTACATCCAGCCGTTCAATCCCGATTAACTTCGGAATGAAGTAATATTTCTTAAGTGTAAACGGATTAATTTCGATCCACTTTAATCCTCTTTTCTTAGCGGAGTAAGATCAATCCGGTGTAAACGCTCCCTAAATCTACTTCATTTTGAAGTGAACCGGGATTGGACGGCTAAGTGTAAACTAAGTCTATGAGGTATGTTCCATTTGATGCTCACAATGCTCTTAAAACAGGTGTCAGAATAGAAATTGAGATTGCGATTAGACTAGATTTTAGAACCAATCAGAAAAAGAAACTTAATCGCAGGTTTAATGAACTTCGTTCAGATTGGTCAAATTCCAATCTAGTCTCAATCTCTGGGGGTCAACATGTAACTTTTCCCCCTAGGGCGGAAATGTGAAAAGTTTCACGTGAACTTACGATCATGTACGATTTTGCGGGATCATGTAACTCTCTCAAACGTGACAATGTGAAATTTTTCACGTGAACTTTTTCGCCATGTACCTTGGCGGAAAGACGGAAATCTAGGGAATTAATAAATATGCTTCGGAATTAGAGAAGATTAGGGCTGCGTTAGGATTAAGTGTACGTAGTACATATACAATTGGTTATTAAAAGATGTATATAATACTGTACCAATAATTTTCATTAGCTATAAAACCTATGAAACTATGTTTCATGATTTCACGTATCCAAGCTATATACATAATCGCTGTACGTGAAAAGTTTCACGTGAAATGTCAAGGTGTGAAAAATGAAAAGTAAAAAGTGAAAAATGAAAAGTGAAAAATTTCACGTAAAGTTACATAATTGACCCCCCTAATCTGATATGGACATTAAAATCAATTGTTAAAGTTCAAATCAATTGTTAAGGATAAGTGATATTCATGAACATTGTGAGCACTAAATACATTTCGATTTGTTTAGTATTGATACTTTGTATTTCTGAGTTCTGTGTCTCATGTTATGTGACCATTCCATATTAACAAATAAAAAAGCAAGGATAAGTGGATTATAAAGATGCAGTTTTAAATAAAATTAAATATGAGCAAATTATAAATATATACATGTATATATATTTGTTTAAAAAATATCTGAGTAATAATAAAGAAATTAATATTACAAGCTAATTGTTTAAAATTTTAGCTATCATGTATTGTTATGTGAATTCTCATAAGATTGTTGTCGATCTTTAATAATACTCTCGTCGACTCAATCTATTATATAAATCTATAGTCTGATAAGCTTGAATCCTTGAACAAAGTATAAAATAGTGGATAAAATATATAGAATCAAGATTATTTTGATAAATATGTGGAAAAGAGAAAAAAGATATGTGAGTAGTAGCAATTCAAACACCATGAGGCAGTTAAAAATTTTATATTGGGTCGTTCGGAAAGTAATTTCGTTTTTTCCTACGTGTGTCGTTAGTTATATTCCTAATCAACTAACTTTTGTAAGAAATTCCTAAGACGACCGGCGGATGGTGCTAAAATTACCGTTCATGTGGAGGGGAAGTGCTACCGAGGATAAATGATTTCGATGAGTTAAGAGTTGGCAGGAGTGACGGGCTAACTCCGACTTAATCTAAAATGATTATCTACTCCTTATCTACAGTGCAGATATGTATGTACTCAATTATATTTTGTCTTATAGAAACGATGTTTCGTCATGAAACTTTTAAGATAATTTCTTTTACAATTATGAAGCTACCTACAGAGCGAATTTTTGTAATTTAGCTCTTAAATAATTAAAATAAATGTAACTATCTACTCCTTATTTACAGTGCAGATATATATTGGTGTCTATCCATATATTATCTCATAGAAGCAATATTTTGCCATGAGTCTTTTTCTACGTATTTTTTATAAAATTATGACTCTTGCTACAGAGCCGGATTTTGCAATTTGGCTCTTAAAAAAAATTTACAATAGATGAAAATATTTGCACCTTATTGTCCTATAGTGCAAATTTATTTACGCATAAATGGATTAATTATTTTTTCACACATTTTCTTACAAAAATCGTTCTGTAACTTTCATCAGGCAAATATTCTGATTATAAATATCATAATTATTAGGTGTACAAAAAAGTTCTGAGCTTTAGATTTCATACAACCGAAATAACAATTTAAACTTTATATATCTTCCCGCCCTTTTGCGGTTTTAAAGCGTTGACATTTGGCCTTCTAAAATGCCATACGGTTTCGCGTTTGATGCACATAACCTCAAAAATCAAATAGTGTTCACGATGGCAATAACAAAAGAGCATATTCGATTTTCCATCCACTTCGCGTTTCATCTGAAGAAAAATGCTGCTGAAGCCACTGCAATGATTTGTGCTGCATATGGAGAAAACGCTGTAAGTCATGCTACATGTAAAAGATGGTATCAAAAATTTCGCCAAGGAGATTTCAATCTTGAAGATGAACCGCGTGCTGGACGTCCTCAAAAGATTGAAACGGACGAATTGCAAGCACTGCTGGATATAAACTCTACGCAAACTGAAAAGGAGCTTGCAGAACAGCTTGGCGTTACGCAGCAAACCATTTCCGTACGTTTACATACGATGGGAAAGGTTCGGAAGGAAAGCAGATGGGTTTCCGCATGAATTGTCCAAAGACAACAAAAATCGTCGGCGTGACACTGCACTCACTTTGCTTTCAAAGTTCCGGAAAAAAGATTTTCTGCACAAAATCATTACAGGCGATGAAAAGTGGATTCTTTATGATAACCCTAAACGTAGACAATCATGGGTTGACCTGGTCAACCTTCGACATCGACGCCAAAGCCCAATATCCACACCAAGGTTTTGCTCTGTATCTAGTGTGATTGGAAAGGTGTATTGTATTATGAGTTATAACCGGATGAAACAATCACGGCAGACCGCTACCAACAATAATTGACCAATTTGAGCGATGCATTAGAAGAAAAGGTCATTTACTGACCAAGGACGTTGTAAAGTGATCTTGCTTCATGACAATGCTCGACCACATGTTACGAAAGTGACTCAGGACCATATCTTTGCGTTAGGCTGGGAACTTCTCCCGCACGCGGCGTATAGATCAGACATGGCGCCTTCCGATTACTACCTATTCCGGTCGCTGCAGCATCATTTGACTGATACACATTTCGTGAGATTTGAAGAGATACGAAAATGCATTGATGACTTTATCGCTTCGAAGCCGGTGAGCTTCTACCGTCAAGGAATTCGCAAGCTACCCGAAAGATGGCAAAAGGTTTGCATTGATGCAAACGGGGAATATTTCGCTGATTAATATTTTTGTTTGTTTTCGAATAAAGATTGAATTTTACAAAAAAAAGCTCAGAACTTTTGTAACTTTTTTTCGAACTTCTCTCAGACAATTTCACAATTAATTTGGAAGTGTACTGCCACCATTGGACAAATTGAGTGATTCCACCAGGCAGAAGAGATCCAAACAACAGAAAAGTAGTGTTCCACCATGATAACGCCAGACTTCATACAAGTTTAATAACTCGCCAGAAGCTGTTACAGCTTGGATGGAATGTGCTTTCGCACCATATTCGCCAGATTTGACACCCTCCGATTATTACTTATTTCGATTTTTACAGAACTCTTTAAACGGAAAAACATTTAACTCCAATGGAGATGTCAAAAAAAAATCACTTGGTTCAGTTTTTTGCAAGAAAAGATCAAAAGTTCTATGAGCATGAAATCATACAACTACCAAAAAGATAGCAGAAGATATTGGCTCAAAATGTTCAATACATAATTGACTAAAATATTTATAAACTATAAAAAAGTTCATTTTTCTGAAAAAAAACGAAATTATTTTCTGAACAACCCAATATATACTTTTCTTATATAGATAATAACAATTTATAAAAAATTCAACAATTATATTTTATGAAATATTGTATTTATTTTACTTAAATTATGTATTATATATTAGTTTATTACATCAACTTTTTTATGTATTAACTTTTTCAATAATACATATCGATGTTTCTTTATTTGATCAACAAGATTTTTCTATTTCAATCCATAAGTAAAGATTGTAAATTAGAAATTTTTTTTCTCATATATCTAATTTTTCGTTTTCGAACATTCAATTCTTTTCTTAAGGCTTTTATTTCTTTTACTGCCATTACTCCATAATACCTAGCTTCAGATGGATTATGACAAATTACATTCCAATTCACGTCTCCAATGTATCTTATTCTATGTTTAGATTTAACATCAGTATGGCTAGGATAATAATATTTATATTAGGAAAAATATATTTATTAAATATTTTATATATAATAAATTTATATATATGTAAGAAAACTCTTTTGAAAAGGAACATAAAGTTAATATTTTTAATGTTATTTTTTAACACATTTATATGAAATATTTTTTAAATAATATAATACAGAAAATTATATATTTAAATAAAAATTATGTTTATACGAATATTTTAATTTTACCTTTTTCTATTGCCTTGTGCATCTGCTATTTCTTCAAAAATTAAATTTTCATCTTGATTAAATTCAGATTCTTCATTAGATTCTTCAGTGTTTTTTATTCTGTTGAGAATACTATTTATATTTTCTTCGAAAAATTATTTTTAATCTAAACCAATATTTTTTTATTTTTATATTTCATTAAAAAATAATAATTATATATTCTATTTAAATATACATACTGTTGCATGTTATTTTGTAATAGCATTTGTTCTTCATTAGATAATTTATCTTGTTTATCAAATGTTGTCTTTGTTTCATTATGTGTCAAAACTAATTTATTATATGTTTTTTCATGTTCACTGGTTGTGTTATCAGTACAAAAACTCATATTGATTTGTAGTTCTGATTCTGTTAATTCTGAATTATTTACTATAAAAAATATACATTTATAAAATTATCAAGACATTTATTTCATGTTAATTTTATATTAAATTAGAAACATCTTTAATTCAAAAAATTACCTTCAATATCGTTATTTTCACTCTCAGGACATAAATACAATGTTGGAACAGCTGCAGGTAGCAAAAATCTTCTCTGTTCGACAATGCCATAACGATAATATTTTGCTTCAAAATGTTTTGAACATAACCTGGCATTTTTGCCGACAGTTATTCTATTAATAGCTTTAAGCCATAATAAATGTTTCTCAGGATCCTTAGGAAACCTATAAAACATTTATCATCTTCATAAATATAAACATTACATTATCTAACCTTTTCTCATATATCATATCTCATATGTTGCATTATATATATATATATATATATATATATATTATATATATATATATTATATATATATATTATATATATATTATATATATATATATATATATATATATATATATATATATATATATGTAAATTTTTACTCAACGCGTTGAAGTTTGATATGTTTGTGTTTGATAGTTTTATCTTTACACAATATGCATGAAGAAACCATATTTATTAATTTTATATTACATATAATAATTCTAATTTTAACTATTGTTTGTATATTAACAGCATTAATTTTTATAGGTTGGCTCTACAGCGCATGCGAACGGAATTTAATCGAGATTAAAGTATGGCATTTTGATATTCATTTAAAATCAGCATTGAAAATCTATAATATATGTAACATAAATTATATATCTATATAACTATATATATTTCCAGTATTGGCAATGAATATCGAAATACAGGGCTGCGTTCGGATTTCTCACCCGGATGCTTTCTCTCTCTCTTTACTCTTTCACTCTTGTGTCATCGCTTTCACTTCAATGCAGCGAGTTCATTCGGGTGAAGAATCAAAACGCAGCCCTGCATACTAATTTATGAAAAGACAAAAGAGAATGCACAAGACAATATAACAATGATATTTTCCGAAGATTCTCAGATACCACTTGTTCTGTTTAGGGTGTATATATAGCAATATATAACATATGGGTACAAATCTTTCTTTCTACTATTTTTTTATTGAATTTTGTCCAGAAGGGAACAATAGCACATTTTATATAAATTGGAAATATTTTGAATGTAATGCAATTTTTAAATGTATAACGCTGTGTATAAATGTCGTTATGTGTAAAGTTGAATTATTATACGTGTAATAAACTATGATTTCTGACTTGTCTTTATTACGCAAAACAAGGTAAATTGAAAACAAATATCAGACGCCAAATATCATATGGCCTCGTCTACATGAGTCGCCTCTACCTATACATTATCTTATCCTTCTCTATTTCTGCGAAGCAGTTTTCTAATTCAATGTTCCATTCAGTGTTATATATAATGGAATGTAATATGGCGCTGCACGTTCCGGTATTGTCAGGGTTCAGGATTGTGATTTGTAGGTAGTGATTGCAACTGCTACAATATGTCGAAGCTTCTATCTGGAAAATTGGCATTTGTTACCGGTAAAATTTTTTCATACTAATTTAATTAATAAATTTTAGGTTATAGCGATTTTTCCTAAGTAATACGTCCATTTATATCTATATTTTATATCTTTGATAATTATGAAATATTTTTATATTTATAATTTATATATTTTATTTATTTTATATTTATTTGTTTAAAGATTTAGGTTAGCGCGCTGTATAATAATTAAATATATATCGCTTGGCTATAGTTTACATTGCGTTCCGATATTCATTGTCAGTGAAAATCTATAGTATATGTGACACTAATTATACATTTTTAATATTAAAATTGGAACGCAGCCTATATGTATAAATAGTGACAAGTCATCATTTGTCATTTATTTTAGCTAATCAATTGACTAGCTAAACTTTCGAAGCATTTAAAATGTAAATCTTATTTATGTTTAATATTTATTCTCAATATGCGCAATATCCTTATCAATTCTATTTAGAAAAAAATGTGTCAAATTTAAATATATATAACTTAATATATATCGCTTTTTTCAATTTTTATCTACGATTTTTATCTACGATTTTATCTCTGATTTTTATCTCTACAATTTGTATTGTAGAGATTGTTTATCTCTCTGTTTATTTGTGGATAATATTTGTAGATAAAATTTAAACGCGTCATTTAAATAAACAAAAAGTAATATATGAACTATGGTGGATTCCTTGAGATTATTGTTTTATGTTTTTTACATTCTCTTTTATGTATATATATTTTATAATTATTTAAATTAATTTAAACGTACAGAAATAATTTTAATATCTTTGCAATATCATGAGAAATTATCTGATAATCTCGAGGTATTTTAAAAGGAATTTTTTATATTAAATAAATTAAATAAAAGAAGAATAAATTACTAATTGAAAATGATTGAGAATAACAATTATATTTGGATGACAAGAAAATCATGAATATATTCTTAAGGAATATTTAAAAAAAACTTTAAAGAATAATTTCAAAAAAATTATGTAATTTATATAATAAATGAACTTCTGTTGAAATGTATGGAATGTATGGAAATGTATGGAATGTTGAATGTTATATATTTTTTATTATCAAGATTAATCCAAAAATATAAAATCAGTCTACATAAAATTATTATATTAATTAAAAGAATTATGAAAATATTACTGATACATATTTATATAGACATTTATATATTTGATATTTGATATTTTCTTTAATATCCATGTCATGCATATAATATGTGAAATATTCGTATATAGACACATAAACCTAAAATGTATCATATAATTCTGACTTTCTCAATCATATTACAGGTGCTGGAAGTGGCATTGGAAGAGAAATATGTCGAATTTTCGCTAAAGAAGGTGCTCAAGTTATTGCAACTGACCAGAACATCAAAAGTGCTGCAGAAACTGTAGCTACTTTAGAAAGTCTGTATATTTTTATTAATTGATTCATATTTTCATTAAAAATTGAGATACACAAAATACATAGAATAGATTTCTGTATTTGCCACATCAACATCTTATTTCTAATTATAGAATTTTATGACTCTAATTCAGTTCCTAAATCTATTGATGATTTAACAATTTTATTAATTTCATTTTATCCTACAGTTATTTATTGCATTATAAATCATTAATGTATTCTTCTAGATGTTGGACATATTGCATTAAATGTTGAAGTTTCTGATCGAAAAAGTGTGGAGACAGCATTTCAAGATGTCTTAAAACAATTTTTAAAACCACCCACTATCATCGTTAATTCAGCAGGCATTACGCGAGATAACTTTTTAGTGAAACTCAGCGACAATAATTTTGACAACGTAATTAAGGTCAATTTGAAGGGTACCTTTCTTATTATGCAAACTGCTGTCAGAGCAATGATAGAGGCAAATGCAACAAAAAATTCCTCGATTATTAATATTAGTTCGATTGCTGGTAAACATGGAAACATTGGGCAAAGTAATTATAGTGCGTCAAAAGCTGGAGTAGTAGCTATGACAAAGAGCGCTTCTATGGAATTTGGAGAGTATATATCTTACATATATAAGTATTAATTTATTTAAAATATTTTCTAACATATAAGATAAATATATTGTATCTATTTTACAGATTTGGTATTCGAGTAAACGCAGTAGCACCTGGTTTTATAGATACTCCTATAACTGTAACTGTACCTGATAAAATTAAAGAAGTTTTTATTAAAAAAGTACCATTACGAAGAATTGGGAAGCCACAAGAAGTGGCAGAGGTTGTTGCATTTTTGGCTTCTGATAAAAGTTCTTACATAAATGGAACATGCATCGAAGTTACTGGTGGAGGATATTAAATTTCATGATTCAATATATTATTGGCAATATGAATTCGGATTGCTCACCTAATCGCTCACGGTATTTACAAAGTGCGCATAATAAAAAAAAATAAATTAAATTAAATGACATTTAATAGTATTATTTAAAAATAATGGGAAAGTAATGTAAAATGCTAACATTGCACATCAACAGGTCTGAATAAGGACATATAACTGTCTCAGGATAAATAATTGTATAGTATCGTTTAGCTGATTAATTTTACAAAAGTATCTCCTTTTTTGACAATTTTATACTGATATCAACATAGCAGAATATAAATTTTTCATAATTAAGATGTGATACACGCACTTATTAAACATATGCACATTTTGATACATATAATTTGTACAAAAATATACAATAGATATAAGTCCAGTATGTTGAAAAAGAAACATGTAAAAAAGGTCTGATAAACAAAAAGGAAAAGTTAAGATGATCGATATTTTCTCTCGATAGCCATCCATAATTTATCGCAATTATTTTTAAAACTATTTTTAAAATCATTCCATTGAAAAAAAATGTCTGAAACTGAATTTATTATATATCATAACATAGATTGAAACTTTAATATATATAAATTTCTAATTAATTAATCTTTAATTAATATATATAAACTTGTTAATATGAAAATTATTAAACTATTTAAAATTGAACTGCTCACGTTCCCGAGCAGCATTATTACTTAGCAGAATGTCGACCAGACGTTAGCCACTGTTGATTCGATAGTTTGCCAACCAATTTGTGCTCGGATCTTAGCATACTGTGTATCTTGTTATATTTTGAAAATATATTTTTTAATATAAATAAAAAATTCATTTATAACGAAAATTATACATCTGTTAATAATATTTTAATGAAATTATGTGAATGTGTATAATAAATTGTAATACTGTATAATAAATTTAAATATTTTGTGATATAATGTATTTTTCAAAGATTAAGAATAAAATAAAACAAAATCAAAGATTACATAAAAAGAAAAGTATTGTTTTCTTAATGTTCAGTTCGTGAACAGTTCTAAACTATATATTGCTTACACAAACAAATTATAGTTCATTATAATTACGTTATAATACGTATATATAGTCATAATTTATTTTTCATTATTTTTTTAACAACTATCATTGTATAGAGAACGCGATAGATCATTGCTATTTTTTTTTTTCATAAACAATGCTAAAATATTTTTCTGCATTTTATATATATATATATATATATTTAAATATTTATATAAATATATTTGAAATATTTATACGAAATATATAAAAAATGTTCTAAAATTATCATATAGGCATTAAGCGAAAATTATTTTTTTTTTTAAAGTACTTTCAGCATGACAAATGAATAATTCTAGAAATAGAATTAAAATAGTCTAACTATAATCTAATAATTTAAATATAATCTAATAATCTAAATATAATCTAATAGTTTAATAATATAGTCTAAATTTAATCTAAATATCGTTATAAAAAGAAAAAAAATAATTTATATATAATTAGGATAGATGTAATATGATCGAACATATGACACACTGATTTGATGCTGTAAATATTACTTTAATTCCTAAAAAGAAATTTTTTTTCTAATGCTGAACCTTTAAATAGCTTGTTTTAAGTTTTTTTTTTTTTATTATTTTATTTCTGCGACGTTACGAGCGACGAGCAAGTCATCGTCAAAGAGCTCCGTAAGCGAAAAAAGTTTCAGCATGACTGAACAACCAATGATAGTTTGTCAAAGAATTGGTAAGAGAGAAAGAGAAGACGTCCTCTAATAGTATGAAATTTCACGGTGAAACTTCTAGGTTCCGTCGTTAATCTGACACGAACTCATGCGAAGCGATGCTGAAAATTTTGCAATTCATAATCCGAAACCGCACCGCACTGCATCTTGCTCTCTGCAGATTATTATATTACTTTACTTTAATTACATAAGTTTAACTTCACAAAACTGAATTAAATGACAATAATTTGAAATTTAGTTGAAATTAAAATTTCAAATGAATTAAAAAAAATTTTAATTTCAACTAAATTTCAAATTATTAATTTCAAAAGTTAAGTTGCAAATTATTAACTTTTTTAATTTCTAATTAATTAACTAGTTAACAAACTACAAAAACGAAACATGGCATTTCCTCGGCAAGCAGGATCTTGATTGCTTTTTTAATAGAGATAAATGTAAATATTACTTTAATTCCTAAAAAGGAATTTTTTTTCTAATTAACTAATTACTTAATCTTATATAAAGATAATGAAGTTTTTCCTTTTCTCTATTTATATGCATTATATATCAAGAAGAAACAGTTGATATAAGATAACAATTTGTAATATTTATTAAACCGAAAAAACCGGTGTTTCTCAATAATTCTAAATTCAAAACCGGAATTATAGTTACGCAATGTTTACGTTTAAACATGATAGTAATGATACGCAATTTATCAAAATTTTATTAATATGAAAGTATAATTCTTGAATATTGCAGAATTACAAATGCAGAATTAATTTAAAGTGAAAGTTTTATAGCAAAGTAGTGGATCCTTGCTAGAAATATTCCATTTTTATGTGTGAGAAATATTTGACCTATAAATTAATTCGATACTTTTGGATTTACTCATTCCTATTGAAATCGCCATCTTTTTTTTTGGTATTGGAAGTGGTTTTAGTAGTAGTTGGTCGAAAAATAGACTAAAGTTATAGAAACTAGTGAAGACTATTTTGACAATTAAGTTTTTATATTATTTTATTTATAAATAAAGTTGGAATTTTGTAAAGGAAGATCCACACCGAATCAATTTATAAATCTAAATAGAACACGCTAAGCCAATCGTTACCAGGAAATTCTTTTGGTCAATTCTTTTAATATTCGAACGATTGAAGTTCAGGTTCAAAAACCATACCGTGGCGGAATGGACTCTAGGATTACTTACGAATTTTAATGAATGGATTTTTTTTTTAATAAAGCCGATGACGTCAATCTTTTTTAACAAGAAATTACATTACGCGAAGCAATTCTTAGCTACGCCATTCAATTGCCATACGAGAAAAATCGTAAAATTAGTCTAAGCAGTTTAAGAAAATTGCTCTCTTTCGAATCGTTAAATGAGCAGAACACGCACGTGTCGATGAATTCCCGTTGCCTCGCGCCCACCTTCTAGCCTAAAGGTTTTCGGTTTTTCTCTCTACAGACTTCGCTGAGGAGACTTCGCCCCACCATCATCTTCATTATAATACCGCGGGACATTTCAGAACCGTTGGTCGGGCTCTGATCGACTCGTACGATACAGTTGATCCGTGGTCATCCAGCAGGATAGAAGGATCCACCTGGAAAGCCGCGAGGCCGATCAGCTCCTCTTCTTCCACGTTCTCTTTCTTCCTCCCTTCCTGAAAGTGTATGCGACAAACGTCAACATCTCGGAGCTACCATGAGTTTATCTGGAAGACTAGAGTGTCGCATCGTCTGGTTTCTCTGACGGCCGACGGAGAAATGAAAATGCAAAAGTTCACGTAATAACACAATTTCTGCTCAGATCAAAACGTTTCGAAAACGTTAACGTGATCGAATAACGTGAGAGAATCCAATCCGTCCGAATGCCGAGACGAGTACTCGAGTTCATGACGAATTAAATTCCTGACATTTCTAAAAATGTCAGGAGGATCTTGACAGAGGATTTCGTTCTTGCTTTCGTCCAAGAGAGAGAGAGAGAGAGAGAGAGAGAGAGACCCAGTCGAGTATTTTGCGAATTAATTTGCCTGTCGGCAAAATCAAGAGAACCGAAAAGAGGAGGAACTCTCTTTTTCTCAGCTGATCCTGGCGAGAACGAGAGATCCAAAGATTCTTAGCATCGAGCTTCGCTGATTACGTGAAATCGGTGAGGCTCGCATGAATTTTCTGTAAATACCAAATAAAAATCTTTTCTGTGAACACTTGGAAGATAAATACGTGGGGCACGATGCGTCTGCCGTTTTTAATTCTGCTCGTACTTTCCGCGCACGCCGAGAAGGAAACGTCTATCGAGACGCCGAGCGGTGTCTCAGATGAGCCGATTTTGCGAGTACGAAGCTTGCCAGCGACGACCAATGTGGTCGAAAAGAACTGGACCAGCTTGGCGGAGATGCTGGACGTTTTTAGTGTGCGTAATTTAGTAAGAAATTGGATCGAAGGAAAGTACCCCATCGGAGCACAATGCGACAAAGACATCACGATGTACGTCGAGGGTCTGAAGAACAAAGAATTGTGGGCTCTTAAAGGTAAGCTCGATCCTCTCGTCTCTTTGTTATTATTGTTTCATCGTTTAATTAAAAAGGGGGGGAGGGGGCAGGGAGTCTTTTATTCTTAATCTTAAACTCACAAAGTTCGAATAATGTCTTTGCTTTTTTTTAGAAGTGAAAAAAGTCAACAGTTCGTAAATATTTCGTAGCGTATTTCAATAACTTATTCGGAATTTTTAAGAACAATTAAAAACTTATAAAATTTGTATGGATTAATTTAATGTGGTTTATTTAATAATTGTAAAAATAATAATAATTGTTTATTGATAAATTTCTCTCTATTTCAATTAAAGAAAATTAATTTCAAATAATAATTTAATTATAACAATGAGATTAAATAACATAAATTATATTTATGATATAATTATATTTCAAGCTGTTATGTCAATCTTTAAATTGTAATGTATAAACAATCTGTTTTTTGCAATTTGTGTTAATGTATAACATGTTTCGAGCGTCGAAGGCAATGACCTTAATCTCTTTCGAAACAGGATTTGTTTCATTCTTGAAGCAAATTATTTCTCGCGCGCGAGAAGTTTTTGCTAAAAGTTTATGCTAATTTAACTTCATTGATAAATAGATTGAAAAAGAAAGTAAGTAAAATATAATTGATACCGTATCTTTGTTCTTTGCTTTTTCTTGGAATTTATTGCTATGTGTATTTTAATTTTTATTATAAAAAAAAACTTGAGTTTTACAAAATAAGTTTTACAAACTTGAGTTTACGCGCCATCGGCGCATTACATAATTGTTATATCTCTATTTTGGCGTACTCATAATGAGTATTTAATGGCTTACATTCATCGCTTTACATAATCAATTACGTTACGCTCCAGTCCTAGATGTTTGATTTTTGATCTGATTACATCGATTACATTACTTGTATCTCCTGCATCGAACGGTATCTCTCGTACGATGTACGTCATGCGTACATGTAACTTCCTATGCACCACAACTTTCTCCGCCATGCAGCTTTCTACGTTACATTGCGCCGTAGATAATCGTGCTAAATCATTCGGTGAGACGGGAGTTATTTGAATCCCCTTCCAATTACGTCACGATTTAGTGGGAACGAAAACGTTTATACGATAAATCTCGAATTACCGCCCGTCGTCATTGTAATTTTATTTTAATCCCGCGCAATTCTAATTCCGAGTAGAATCCGAGTCGAATGGGGACACTTAACGGATGACGAAGCTACCGCACGAGATTACCGCACGCTCCGTACTTTCCCCGGCAAAAAAAAAT